CGATCAAGGTGTACTCCGAGCCATCGGATATCGTCGGATGCTTGTACATCGCGAGTGCCTACCCTTATAGCCGGAAGATTGTGACCCCTGGATCTAGGGCCGACGAAGTAGACTACTTGGGCCTTATCTGGGTCGAAGGAGACGGCATTTTCAGCAGCCCACCTGTGACGGTTAGTAAACCGGGTAATGCCTGTAGTCTACGCTGGCTAGCGCAGACAGTTCTTGGCTCCTGGAGGTATGATCAGGAATATTCTTGTAGATTCTTAGATATGCTTACCTGGCATATTTTTCTGGTGGAACATTCGAGACTAGAGCAGAGTTGATCGAGCTTCACCTAGAAAGAGTGGGAATCTTCTAGCAATGAAGAAAGATCCTTCCAGGGACGAGACGAGAAGTTACTAGAAGGATCTAAATCAGTAAGCCGTGATTATCCCTGGGATGGAGGCCGAGGATAGTATGAAAAGGAATGTATAAATACATGTCCGACTTCATAGATAGCTCACCATTATTCGAAATATAAACTACCACCTTCTATACAAATGCCCATTGCTTTTATATCTGATCTGTGACTCCACCCTAGAATTGCATCGACTTCTCGCTGGACAGCTTCTGCGGCTTCGTTTGGAGTCGAACCTATGCCGAGGATAGCAACATCATCTGCATAGCCAAATCTCCAACTACTGCCCACCATGACTTCGGCCATGTAAAGGAGGAAGAGAATTGGGGATAAAGGCGATCCTTGTGGCAGCCCGCACTCTAGGTGAATTGGGTCTGTTACTCCATCCTCGTGTCTGACACGGGCAGATCGTTCTTTCAGGAAAGACTTTATCCAAGTGATGGCTGGTTTCGGCCACCCAACTTTATTCATCCTTTGCAGCAGTCGTCCGTGGATTACAGCGTCAAATGCACCCTGTACGTCCAGAGTGACAAGAACTGCTTTCTTCTGCCTCTTCATTGCATGCTCCACATTGTGGGTAACGCATGAGACAAGGTCATTAGCTGATCTGCCGGAGAGTGCTCCAAAAAGCTGCTGCGGCACTGCCTTGTACGAAATGGCGGTGTAAGCCATGCGCCTTGCGACTAGTCTCTCAAGACCTTTGCCGAGAGAGGATAGCAGTGCGATGGGCCTCCATCCTTTAGCTGTACTGAGATTACGGCCAGGTTTGGGGGGAAGAATTACGTCCGCTAGCTTGAATGCCTTCGGGAAGTGTTTCAGTCGAAGTGAGCTCTCAAAGAGTACTCTCACTGCTTGTCCAATTGACGGCCAGACTGTCCTAAGAAGACAAACAGAAATTGCGTCTGCTCCAGGGGCTTTATTTTGGCATGCCGTTGTTACCAACTTGGCTTCTTCGTCTATGATGCTGGAGACCCACGGAAGGTTACCGCGTCCTAGCTCGATGTGCTCGGTGTCGACGTCGTTTTGGCTGGTGAACCGGCCGAGAAGGAGATCACGCAATAGAAGTGCACGCTTTCCTGGATCCGATACAAAACCATCCGGAGTTTGGAGTGGTGGAGTAGCAGATGTAGGTTGCGGCTTTGCACAACGTGCCATTCGATACATATCGACGTCAGTTGTGGCTTCGGAGAACTTCCGCCGCCGGTACTGGCGTTTCGCACTTCTGAATATGCGACAGAAATCCTTTCTGCTCTCTTCGTCCCTGAATATCCTGTATTTGCGTTTGGCTTGTGCGCACTCTATCGTCCACCAAGGTGCCGTCCTACCCTTCTTCGCACTCCCGCGTCTTCCGGTAGCCCTAATTGCATCGCTAATGGTTTGAACCAGCTTATATGCAAGGCTGTCTACTGCGTTTATTGAGTTCATTGGCTGTAGCTCTATTCCATGAGCCCATCTACCAAGCACCTTGGCAAAGTCTTCGAGGGCGTCGTCTGTCACTCGGAACGGTTGACCAGTTTTGATTACAGCTCTGGCTTTCGAGTTTGGACGAGGAACGTCTCCCGCAAGAGTTCTGTGATCCGATGTCGAGTCAAGCCCTATCGAAATATCTGCAAGGGCACTAGCGTTAGACCAGACCAGGTCGAGTGTGTTTCCAAAGTCGTGTGTCGGGACGCCCAGGGTGGAAGATAGGTCCATGCCTTGCTCAAACATCCACTCGGTGAACACATGGCCGTTACCGTGTAGCCTAGTAGCCATTGGCTACCAGTCGGTGTGAACAGCATTGAAGTCTCCGCCAATAACTGTAGGCCCAGATGGAGCCCATGATAGCAGCGGCAAAAGGTCTGCTCCAGGAGCGCGGTAGACGGAGACAAATGTGACTCCTTCTGCTGTTACTGCGGTGAGATCTGGTGATGCTTCGCAGATTGCTTGCTGTTGGCAGTTGATCCCCTTTCGCGTGTAGATGAGGGAGCGTGGCCTTGAAGAGTTGGCTGCGGCATGGGGTGGCAAATGCTTATCGAACCCGGGATGCGACTTGGTGAGCCAGAGGCCGTCCTTAAGTTGGGTCCAGGGTTCCTGGATAAGTAGGACATCGGTTCCTGAATCCCAAGCGGATTGCAGGATGATGTCCGTAGCGGGGTCTCCTCTGCCCAAGTTAGCACAGAGGAACTATATTGTTGTTGCCGTTTTTTGAAGCTCGGTTGGGTTGTGGTCCCTTACGGGCATTGAGCAACGTTTGTATTTTCGTTTTCGGCAGTAGCCTCGGTGGCTTTCTGCTTTGCTTCCATCTCTCTGATTGAAGCGTTCCGTTCCTTTTGACCTTGTTCGCGAATTATCACCAGCTGTTCTCTTGTGCGCTGTACCGTTTTGCCACCAACCCGCGTCGGCCTTGCCATGCAGTTAGGCTCGACGGCAGAGTGTGGTCCATGGCAGTTTATGCATCTCTGGATAGCCTGTTTGCAATCGGTGGCCTTATGCTGGACAGAGCCGCATCGTGAACAGCGTTCTGCTCGCGAGCTGATCTTTGTAGGGTGGTGTCCCCATCATCGGTTGCATTGAGCAATTTTTGGCTTGCGCTGGAGTTCGTGCAGCCGACCACTTTCTTCAAATAGTCGTTCACCAAGCTTTGGTTTTCCTGTCGCATAATGTAGCACCCAGTCTGTTGATGGCCTTGCCATGCCAGTCGCAAAAGCGCGAGCAGATAATGGTCTCACGCCGGTTTTGAGGGAGGCTTCTTCGATCACTATTTCTGGCGTGACTGGCACTGGTCCCTCGAGGGTATATAGCCTGTCTGGAATATTGGGTTCAAGCACTGATATCCAATTGGACGCGGCTTCCAACTTCATTTCAGAGCTGTCTAGGGTATTCGCTCCTGTCAGTAGCGCGCTTCTTGCTCCTTCCCCGTCAGCTTGTATGGCAAATCCAGAACTCACCACTGTGACTTGTCTGATCGATGAGTTAGCCAGGCGTAGTTTACTAGCCAGGCTTATTTTTATGAAATGTGGAGACATGCGTCTCTACGGGTGATCGGGTTTGAGCCGTAAGAATACGCGCTCGTCAGCTTTTTCCTGCATCACTGCTGATGCCTTGGGTTTCGATGTGGGCGTGTGGCTAGTGGTTGTTTTTGTGGCAGCAGTGGTTGCTGTCTTAGTCTTTTTACGCACCACCTCTGTCCAGGATCTCTCGGGAGTCTGGTTGGTGGTTTGTTCTGTCCCATGGGTAGGGATTGGTGTTGCAGAAGCAGCCGGTGGTGTAGCTGCTCCTAATCTCGTGTTTTCCCTGGCGAGGATCTGTACAGGACGCACGACGCTCGCAATAGTCTTCTTCCTCGACTCTTTAGCTGTCTCGAGGCGAGGTTTGATGATGTGGCCACTAGCAGCTTGAGCTGGTGCTGTGGCTTTGGGGGTGGCTGAATTGCCCCGCAGAATTTCTGTGATCCGGCTTTGAAGAGCCAAACCGGTGAGTTCGATGGCTTGTCGGAACTCTTCGTCTGTTGTCGATTCGAGCAGGTTGCAGTACCCGCTGACGATGCGCTCTGCTTCCGCAAAACGTTCCTGGAAAGCCCTCGCTTGTTCGGCGAGAAAGTTGGTCATGTTGACGGCCGTGGGGTTTGGGCTCGGGTTTGGCAAGTGCTGTTGACTCGCGCAACAGACTAAGTCTGGTGTGGTGTTGTGTGGTGTAGGCGGTAGTGTGTATTGTGGATCGTTGAGATCCACTTCGACGTCCTGGCGCGTCGCGTGTTGGGTGGGGAGAGGTGGCTAGGAGTCAGCCTCTGCGGAGGACTGGGGCGGCATAGGTGATTGAGAAATGTGAGTGACAGTAAGATGTCGTAAATGGAATGCAATATCGTCACTTTGGATTGCGAAAAATTGTGTGTATGTTGTGTTTACCGAATTTGGTTTCCTCCTGTGTAAATATTATAGCTAGTTATACCTGAACGGGCTAATTGAAATCAAATCAAATAGTCAATTATTTACGGGCCGGCATCACCCGTTTTTAATGTTCAAATCAGTGTAGAGTAGTATTTACCTGGTATGTGCCATTACAAGAGCAATGTAATTAATACCTTTGAGGTTTTCGCTTTGAGACTTTAATATCCATGCCAGCCATATGCTCGCATCCAGATTCACTGGCGATGTTCTTTCCGACTATTCTTAGGTGGAATGGGTAAGTCCTGGATCGAAGTGCTTAGTTTATTTCGTAGCATAATGGTGGCTTAGCTGCAGCTAAATCATAATAGATTGAGTGAATAATTAGAAACAGCATGAATGAATTGATCTGCTCTAAAGTCTACGGAATTTTATGTCTATATGAGCCCCATTGCTCCTAGCTTATCTTGAGGACACCAGTATTACCTAGCCTATTACACGTCCTATAACCATTGATGATAGCCCGGGGAGTCTATTGTTTGAGTGAACCGAAGCCATAAACCCTTCCGAGACCTATGCTTCCCAAAGCTAGCTCTGACGGGAACTATCCCAGACGTATATCAAAATTGGTGCTGTGTGGAAAGTCGATTGTCTCCAGATCCCAAAGTCCTGAACAGTGCGAGACCATAACAAATCAAGATGGAAGCCGGTAGATGTTGCGGCATGATAAGGTGTGTTCACGGCGCGTCCGGGTCCTTCTTAAAGCCCATGTTAAGACGCCACCATTCATAGAGTTTTATGTTCGTCCGCAAAAAGGCGCTCAGCTCTTTGACGCTGGTAAATTCCACCACCCGGCCCACCGGGACATCAAGCAGCGGTTGCGCGATCAGCTCTTTCTTAAGGAGGCGATAATCTTTGTAGCGAAGTTGCTGCCGGCATATCATCAGCGTCAGGACATGCTGGGCGTCGACAAATAGAAGTGGTGTAGATACCAGTACTGTTGTGGATGGAGGGCGCTTACTTTGACCAGGTCGAGCCACTGCAAGGCGCGCTCACCTTCGGCAAGCATAATTCCTGGTGGTCGACCGACCTTGAGGATGACGCCGCAACCTAAGCTCTTGGCCGCCTTGGTGAGGGCGCAGATCTTTCGGCGCGATGTCATGTGGTGAGTCTGGACGAGAACGCGGAAGGTAGAAGCCATTTCAACGTAGACTCAGTCTTTACACTCTAATCCGACGGGAGTGGCCCACACAAACTTGGAGTATTACATGGCTGAGTCATCGCGTGTGGCTAGTCTTGAACTTGGCCCGCAATCATCTTTTTTTGCATCAGATTTTCATTGTGTATGCAGCTATCTCTCTATGACTCAATATCAGAGAAGTATATAATAGATGACTCGAATTACTAGAAGAGCACTCATGCCTCGGGTTTCAATTACAAGCACCAGTGTGAAGTTATGGTGGCTTTTTCTCACCCCAAGTCAACCCTCATCCGTGAATACCCATCCAGTAAGACGTCTCAAAAGTCTTGAGTTGTCCGGAAATGCCCCCATGACCCTTTCTCCGCGCGAGATGTAGTCTGAGGCGTCTCCTTCCAAAGTGAAGTGGGTGCCCAGGTCCCTCAGACTATACCGGAGAACACCACCAAGAGGCGGACCACAACACCTTCCATCGTTGACTTATTTTTAAAGTGTCAGCTACACTATCGCAAGTGAAGTCTCGGCATGCGCATGAAGCTTAATTTGAAATACTCCATGCCAGAATTCAAAATTTCACGCCCGTCAAGATTGCATCCATCCCCTGCATCATCTTGTGAACTTGTCCTGATCCCTCTCAAATCCATCCCAAAAAACTGTCTCCCAGATTATTGTGCCACGCTTTGCTTCCTGCGGATGTAAATATCGGCGTGGGCGTGAAATAGATGACGAGCTGAGGTCTTTTCTTCATCATGCATGCCAGCCACGAAGAATAAAGTCGTTTACTGAGATAAGTTTGTGGCCAAGGGATTTCTCTTGGAATCATTTGGATGGAGATATTGAATCGACTCAAATTAGCCAACCAACTGGAAGCTAGTTCTCCGAATGTGCAGACACATGGGAGATATGGTCAGAATGACTGGAAAAGTGTTGCAAATCTAGACTCAGCATGTATGAAGGCTTAGATTTCTAGGTATGATCATCAAGATCAATCGAGTTGATTCGATTGAATATGATTAAGCTCAGTTGGACGAAACAAGATTCAGTGGCATCTGGAATGCAATGGCTAGGAAATGCTGCCTTGCGATAATTGAGTGGCTGGTTGTTGCTAGATCACTGGGAGTTCGGGATCTATATTTAAAGACAGACTCATCTGTATATGCAGAAATAAGTTAATGGAGTATTACACATTATTAATTCATATTGAGAAGAGAGAACGATATGACATACAGCTATCAATAAATTCTTGTCCGAAATTGTACACTTGTTCTTCGAGATATTTCCTCCTAGAAACCCTTGACAATTTCTAACAAAAAGGCTTAGTTAAGACTGTGGGAGAATTGGACTTTCACAAACATTTATGAAATAGATACCAACCAGTCTCGCGTGCATGTTTTACATGGTAATGGCCATCTACCTATCGCCCACCAGGATGAGACGCTGCACACTACAGTGCGTGAAGTTTAAAACTTATATGCGACAGCTGATGAGGTTAGAATATCTGAGACCTTCCAGCATCTAAGCAGACTAGGTATCTTCAGAAAACACCATCTACTGTCTGTTGCTAAACATGTTCCCACTCACAAAATGAGTAACACCTTCGTCCTCACGTCGATGTGGACTTTCAATCGCTTTCGCGGTCTGTTTCGTCATCACCTCTCAACACATTCTCCTACCACCATTATCATGATGCTAGGGTCTGAGCCCCACTCATAGCCCACCCTTGGTCATAGAGAAAAGGCTATCCGATGAGTATCCGGAGCGTACCCGGCACCCGATACTGCGATGGCGGATTGGATCAAGTCGGCCTCGAATGTTACAAAGAAGGGAGATATAGCTGAATATGCGCACCTCATGTGATCGTGGTATCTAGTTCTCGCTCGGTTAGGAATCTAGGTTTGAGAATTTTTAACGCAAACGTAGTTTTCATTACTATTCTCTTTTGGGGGAGAAAATTCCGTCGAGAGTATGATGAATTATATGGGCAAACGTAGATTTAAATGGTGCCATGACCCTGCTCTGCACAAGGAAGCAAGGGCTTCATGGACAAGACTCAGTTATTATATTGCATGGCAATAGTGATGCAAGCTCATACCAATGTATGGCTCAAATGTAAGTCGTTCTTATCAATAGGAGCCTAAGGATCGAATAATGCCGTTACGCATTATATGAGCACATCAGACACTCAATGGGCATGTCTGTAGAGCAAATTGGACATGTATCCAATCAGGAGAACTTACTCTCCGTGTAGATGATACTTTCATCTTTAGATCTACATTTATCCCCAGATTGTCTAAATACATTCGCTCACCCATCAGAATTTTCATTCGATATTTTCTGTTATAAATACCGCCCCACCACAACTCTTATTCATCTAACCCACAATTACAACTAACAGCTATCCATCATGGGCGATTGACCAGATATTTTTTTCGCGGTGAAAGAGGATAGGAGCACTGTGCAAGGTATAGCCTGGGTCAGAGGATGCCAATGTGCTGGATGGTTACAGACTCCCGCAGTAGTATAAACCTTAACCATCCAAATCATACCCCAACATCTCAACAACAAAACCAGCCATAATAAAAGAGGATAATTGAAAATACCCAACGCCAGTTTATTTTGGGTTGCAACAGAATCTCCTGTCCCTAGATTTGACCACTTTTTGCGCTCTTGACCCCTAGTGTGGGATTATGAGCTAGTATCAGCCAGCCCACGTCAATCGTTCACGGCGTGAGAAAATGCACTGTGGTTGAAGCACTTTTAATTTGGAAATTGTGGGAAGAAGTATAGGGTTTATTTCTGCCTGCTCTAACCAAAAGACGGGGAAATAAAGACCGAAAGCGGGTGACGCGTGCCCGGGTAGAGGACGACGAAGGCGTGCTCACATCAAAATCTTCTGGATCTCACATGATGATTAGTTGCGGTGTAGTATTGACTGTATGAAGCAAACGGCAAACCTCATAGTGACGTCTGCGAACAACTTGCTGAGTGAGGAAATCGTGGGATTTCAAGAGCTCTTAAGATCTATACAATATTCTGGTCAGGTATTCAAGCTAAATCATTAGATTACACTTGAGATGAGAAAAATAATCTAAAAAGAGAAAGTAATCCTCTCAACACTCCCAATAGCATGTATATATCAAGTCAAGGTAAGTTACAAAGTTCATAGAGAATTTTGTTACGACCTGAATTATTTGGTGAAACCACGTTAACTAGAAGCTTAGAGAGGGTGGTATTTATATCATAAGCTTTCTATAGCAATAGTAACAATTGTGGTTAACATGTATCTTAATTCTTGTCTTATCCAATCGAAGGAAACAAGTAGATATTGTAGTTATACCTCTCTCCTAACGCTACTTCTAAACAGGTAATCATTACTCATTGTAGAGATGAAGCATGGAGATTTTATTGATTTGAATTTGAATTTGAAATCTTTAACGTGACAGGACGAACCCAACATCTATTTAGACGTGACACGGGTAGATGGGCCCTACGAGCTCATTGCTACCTACATGACCGGCATTAAAGCCAGAAGCGACAAAAGAAAAATAAAATCACAGCAAATGTCTGAGTTACGGTGCCCTGCACCGTATCCCTATCTTCCAAACACCTCTCCTCTCGAGCCAGAAACTATCTCAGCATGGTCACTCCCACCCTGTCAGTTCTTCGGCAGACTGTAGCATCTGCTTATGGTTAGGAATTGGAAAAACTTCTGCCATCCCTTCTCCCCTATCATTTCCCTGACCCCAGGTGGAGTCATTTTCTCACAGCTTCTCCAACGTTGCAGAGCAGGTCGGCACTCTGAAAAATGCCAGGGCCTTTTCTCTCGGCCACAAATGCACATCAGATCTTCATGTTCGGGGTTGAAACGCCGGTGGTAGCCGGCGTAGTCCCCGTGGCCTGTTCTTGCCGCAATAAGACGGTGATACGCCCATCGAGGCAGAGCCAGTTCCGGCGGTCGCTTGCAGCGCATGTAGAGGTCGAGATCTTTGTATCGTTTAGGCCGATACTTCTGCCACCACTCTTCCACAAGCTTTTGGCTCCGCATTTTCACTAGTCTCCCTAGAGCCGCAAAGGTCAGAATTTGCTCGTCTCCGTTGGGCGAAGCTGAGGTTAGTGAGTGGTCATTGAGATCTCCCAGGGCTGATTTGGCCAGCTTATCGGCTTCTTCGTTGCCTTGGATCCCCACATGACCAGGTATCCAGTGTATTTCTACACGCCTATTATGTCTCAGCGATGAGAACTTGTCCACCACTGTCTGCGAGGAATTGGATCTTCCTTGTTCGAGCGCTCTGACGGCCGCTTGATTGTCCAGAAGAATGCTGACCGGAAAGCCTTCTCCCACCGCTAGTGCAGCCTCCAAGGCTTTCATAGCGCCTACAACTTCTGCGTCGAATACCTCTGCTCCGGGAAGCGGACCCGAGCCACTTCCAGCTAGTTTGCCTCCTTGGTATACCACATAACCCCAAGCTGATTGCCCGGGACCCGACGAGGATCCATCAGAGAAGGCACAGACTGCGTTGGCTGGAAGGGAAGTTAACCATCGTTTGATGCTTCCTGACCTAGCTTCTTTTTCCCGACTGCCTGGTGTCGATGCCGGGAGACCATGGGGAAAGTAGAGCTTTCCAGGGCCTTCCGCTGTCGGAACTTGACGCACGCTTATTTGTAGGCGTGTCATGTACCTTTCTGGCTGTCTGAACAAGCGATCTCGTTGTCCCGATCTAAGACCTAGGCGTTTTATAGTATCTTTCGGGTCCTCCGCCGCCCGAAGGGCTAGAGGGTGCCAGGCATCCATTCTTCGCATTCGAGCTGCAGACCGCAACATCTTTTGTTGGAGAATTATTGATGCCGGGGGAATTCCCGCTTCACGATGAAGAGCGCTATTGGGAGTGGTACGCCACGCTGGGAGTGCTACTCGTATAGCTTTCGTGATAGTTTTGTCCAGCAGAGATGTGTGCCACCCTACTCCAGTGCCGACTTCTTTATCTCGGATGGTGGTTATTCGA